ATCAGTTGTTCCATATCCAGTTCTAACTGTTGCTTCCTGTCCCACATATAGGTTTCTCAGGAGATAGACAAGGTGGTCAGGCACTCCCATTTCTTTAAGGACTTGCCATAGTTTGCTGTGGTCCACACAGTCAAAGGCTTTTGCATAGTCAATGAAGCAGAAGTAGATATTTTCCTGGAACTCTCTGGCTTTCTCCATAATCCAGCAAATGTTAGCAATTTGGTCTCTAGTTCCTCTGCCCCTTTCGGAATCCAGCTTGTACTTCTGGGAGTTCTTGGTCCACATACTGCTGACGCCTACCTTGGAGGATTTTGAGCATAACCTTGCTAGAAATCAGAACATGGCAAAACCCCAAAGACCTGTTGTTTTCTTCCTTCAAGACTTTACGAGGCACAAGCTTCCAAAGAATACAGATGACTCCCTGAGGCATTCTCCCTTGAGAATTAATTTCCTTAAATGGAAATACTGTTATTACTGTCGGTGAGCATTTAATGGTCCAAGGACTGGCATTATATTCAGAGGTAATGTCTAAATCTGTCCTTTGTAATGCCTTTATATAATTATATAAATATAATTATATTTACCCAACATTTATAACATAGTTATTAATTCTTCTTTCATCTTTGAATAATGTATCGTTTTTAGCTGTTGACATTGTTTTCAGTCTTATAAGCGGCCTTGGGTCCCTTTTTTAAAGGAGAAAGGCAAGGTAAAAATATTTTAAATAAAGAGTACCTCAGAGAACTTAGGCTATTTTCTGGTTCCTTTTGGTTAAACTATAAAAGGCTTTCCCCTCAGTACGGAATTTCCTTAATTGACTCTCCATCCCTCAAAACACAGTTTGGAAGCTAATGTCTCAGAAAATGGCTTCGGTTTCCAAACTAGGCTGCTGCTTCTCCCTCAGAATTCTCCTATTAGCCTAGACTATATTATTATTATTATTATTTATTGAACTTTTGGGCCACTCGACTTAATGAAACACAACTCGGGGCAGTTTATATTATAATATCATTATGCTCTATTAAGTTGCATTACCTTACATTGCGTTATATTATGTTTTTGTATTTTTATATTATATTTTTAACTTATACCTACACCTCATCTCGCCCCAGCCTAGCAACGTCTCCCCACCGCTTGCTCTTCTTCACCCTTCCTCAGTTTGGCGCCTATTCAAAATGGACGCCAAAAGGCTTTTTTTTTTAAATGAGGCCGTTCTATCGTTCGGTCCTCCCAACTTCATGGTCGAGGGGGAAATTGCGCGCGCAATCCGGAGACTCCTCCCCTCACCCCTAACGGCTCAATCCGGCGACTCCCTTTGGCTTTGCCCCCTCAAAGAGCCGTTAACTGAGCACGCGCGCGAGGCCGTTGAGGGGAGTTCGGGCGTGGAGAGGGGGGGAGGAGGCGGAGGGAGGGGAAGGCGTCACTTCCTGTGTTGCGCGCGCGCCCGCGTCACAGAGCCCCCCCCTCTGTGGCGCAAGAGGCCGGTTGGCCGGCTTCCGGCCCCTCCCCCCCCCCCCCCCCCCCCCCCCCCGCCCCCCCCCCGCTCTGGCGGCGCTCTCTCCCTCCCCTCTTGCTGACTCGCGCCGTTTCCGGCTCCAAGTTCCTTAGTAACACAATGGAGCATAAAATGGCCGCCTGAGAGAACGGAGGGGAAGGAGGCCCGAGTTGGTGAGAGGGAGGCCGGTGGGCAACGAAGGCCGGGACGAACCGCGGGGCCCTGGGCGACCGGAGGAGGAGAATAGCCGTAGGGGGCCGCTGAGGGGCGCGAAGGCGAGCGACGGACCGAGACCCCCGGAAGGGCGGCGGAGGAGGAGGAGGAGAAGGAAGGAGAAGGAGGAGGAGGAAGGGTGAGTGAGGGGCCTGGCCGGGCTGAGGGGAGCCCCCCGAGGCCGCTTCTCTCCCCTCCTGGGAGGTCGAGGGCCTCCGCGGCCTGCCACCGAACCGGGCCTCGCTGGGGAGCGGAGGACAGGGCCTGAGGAGAGACCCGGCCCGTCGCCGGCTCGGCCTTCCCTCCCTCCTTCCCTCTTTCCCCGTGGCTTTGGGGAGGTGGTGGTGGTGGGGGGAGAGGACTCGGGCCCTCCCCAGAACGACCCTGCTCCTCGGAGATGGAGAGGCCTCCTTTTTCCTCGGTTGGACTCGTGACGATCGTCTGAACGCGTGTCCCTGTGTGTGTGTATATATGAATGTCGCTTTAGCCCTTCCCTGGTTTCCCCCGAGACAGACAGGACACGGGTGGACTTTTCGCCTTTCCTATGTCCTCGCCATCTACCCACCGACCCCGAAGGAAAGAGAGGCACCTCACCTAATCTGAAAAACATATACAGTATATGTCAAGGCCTGGAAACGAGGGCCGGCCTTTCCTTTTCGGTCAGAGTTTCAGGCCCTGATATTGCAACCCCATCCGTTGCCTCGGTGGCTTCCTGACCTGTCACTCTTCCCCCAAACGAAATGTCATAGATCGAAAAGGAAATTCCCCACGATTTTGCTGGGGTTCTCACTTCCAGTAGTCCTGACCTTATTATCTCTTTTAGTATGAGTGAGTAAAAAAAATTTTTTTACCACCCCTCCACTTCCTGCTCATTCCTCTTTTCTTTTTTTCTATCTGATGGGGACTAGCCGTTGGATTTAGGCCAGTCTCGGACACGTATCAGATTTCCTTGTTCCTTTAGTTGGACTTGGGGGAGGTGTGTCCTTCATAGCGAGAAAGAATCCCACACAAAACTTGGTCTCAAATGTTAAATCTCTACCCAGCTGAACCCCCCCCCCATTGCCTTTTATCTGCATCACAGGGATTGGGTTTGTAAATGTACTTAAAATCGGTGGGTTGGTGAAAGGAGACTGAGTTGTAACTAGAAATAATGATGTCACATCCAGTTGTCTGGTCTACCCTGCCAGTGTGATAGTGCTAAACAGGAAGTATTGCCAAAGAGGAATTGCTACTAACATGTGGTCTTCTCACATTTTTAGCATCACTACCTTTGCTGAATACTGAGTGTGTGTGTGTCTGGAAGTGCTTTATTTTTCCCTAGTATTAGTTTATGATGGAGATATTTAGGAAGCCATTCGATATAAAGTAACACCATTATATATGATTCTTATGAAAGAAGGCAAATTTGTGTAAACCTAATTTATTGCCGTGGTTTTGTCTTTTAAAATATTGCTGTTGAATATTTTGATTAGAAATGATGCCCCGTCTTAAAGTAAAAAAAGAATGCCCTTAGTGGCAAATCCGACTTACATGTATGTATAAAGATACAGAAGTCAGCTTTTTCACTTTCTAAAACACTGATTTACAAGACTGATTGGGTTGTCATTTGTGTAGATCAACCAAATTGTTTAGATCAGGTTGAGTTTCTCTAGGCTCAGTGGGTGAGGGTGCAGCTGAAAGTACAGTATGTATGAGCCCATGAGTAGAAGTAGGCCTTTTTGGTTGCTATGGAAAGACAAAAGGGCATTTCCTATTGATAGTTGGGCCTAAGTATGGCTCAGCCTTGTATATGTGAGATTTTTTGCAGATATTAACTCTCTCAAAAGAGCATTTGTGCAATTTATTATCTTCATCCAAAGTGATAGTAAACCTTGGGCAAGGCAAGTCCACTCTTTCAGTCCGTCTCGCGGTTTGCTGCACTTGATGTTTTTCTGTATCCTTTTTTTTTTTTTTTTTTTGCTAGTGCTGTTGTTTGTACTGTACTTGGAAGTATAGTACACCTGTATAGTTATTTTCTAGGATAGTGATTCTAAGCTTTGGGGAAGCCACGTGTTCTTGGACTTAAACTTCCAGAAACCTTCACCACCACTAGCTCTGCTGGCTGGGTTTCTAAGAATTGCAGCGAAAGAACATCTGGGTTGCCCGTGGTCGGGTACTGCTGCTTAGCAGCTTCTTTTGCTGTAAATCCCTGCTTCCATGATGATCTCGACTGTGTTTTTCTTGCCTGTTCCCCTGCCACCATTTTCTGTAACTGTGATGCAGCCGTAACGTAGTTTGCAAACCAGCTTGAAATTCTAGTTTACTATTAACTATGCTTGTCCCAACTCCTGCCAACCTAGCAGTTCGAAAGCATGTAAAAATGTGAGTAGATAAATAGGTACCACTACAGTGGGAAGGTACTGTAATGGCGTTCCATGTCTAGTTGTGCTGGCCATGTGACCATGGAAACTGTCTTCAGACAAACGCTGGCTCTACGGCTTGGAGACTGAGATGAGCACCGCCCTAGAGAGTCGGACATGACTGGACAAATTGTCAAGGGGAACCTTTACCTTTACCTATGTTTGACAACAGTGTACGCAAGACATTGTCAGGATAAAGGAAAAAGAGGGGAGGAATTCCAATAGTCTTGTGCCCAATTTACAGTGGCTAAGAGACCTAGAACATCTTGTTTGCACCAGGACTGAAAACCAACAGGGATAGGAAGGAGCGCTGATATGTACAGCAGTTGTGAAAGAAAACAGTTGAGATAGTAGTTAGGGAGTAGTGAGTGGGAAACCAAAGATTTTCTTTAAACTGTTGACAAGTAATAGAAGTGAGTAAAATTAACATTTAGTGTAATATTGTTGGTAGTGGTATAGTTTGTGATGACTGCTTATAAATCTTAGATCTTTTTTTTTCTTTTAGTTACTAACATGGCAGTAGCATGTATTGGAAGCCAATATAGTATTTATTTTGGTTTGTTTGCATTGAAATATTGCAAGCTTTGTCTGTCTCTTTTAGAACTGCAGAATTTACATCATTTTCCAGCATGCTGTCCTAGGATTCTTTGTTGCTCATTTGGAGCCCACACATTTTTGGCTGACCTTGGTACCCCATCATTTGTTGTTTGTCATTCAGTGCTTGTAGGCCGAGTAGCAATTGAAACACTATACAGGATGCATTTATCTTTTTTGCATTGCCACAGCTGGTTGTTGAGGTGACTCTGTAACATTTATGACGTAGAAATAGAGCTTTGCATAACCTAAGCAACTTATTTTGATCCTGTGTTCAAGCAGTGTAAACTGGAAGCAGGTACTGCTGGTTCTAATCCAGGGTGGATTTGGTTTAAATCAAATGATTAACTAAAAAAAACCTGGAATTTTTTAATGATTTAAATAAAAATTCATTTTTAAGAAATTAAATTGTGATTTAAATCAATTTGATTTTGAAAAACCATTAATTTTTATCCACCCTTTTCTAATCACTGCCACCATGCTTTCCAGGCATGAGTAATGTGTTCCTTGGTTATCCATATTTGTGGAAACTCTGCAATTTGTCTATTAAATAGCTTTCCAGGTTCAATTTACGTGGCAGGTACTAACACCATTCACTCTCTGTTGAATTCACATGTTTTCTGGAAATCATGACGGACCAAGGACAGTTTGAATGTTATAATAAGCTGTTTTATAAATACTTTTACTGTATTTGTACAAAATCAACCATGTCCACTTTGGGCAAATCATGCAAGAAAATTCTGAAGATTATAATATATCGGATGAATTCTTAAAACTATTTCTGTTGCAGGGACTATATAAATGTAAATGTCAAGAGAATAAATTGCAGCTTTAATACTATCCAAACTTGCAAACACACACACACCTATTTAGATCTAAAATGACCTGCTTCAGCCTGTTGGTGTCAAAGTTGGATACAGCCAATCAATTTCTGCCACAAGGTAAATCTCAAGGCAAATTTAATTGGCCCCGTTTGAGTTCAAGGAGCAGTTGTAATGGATCAGCTGAGAGGCAGATTTCAGTAATGAGCTTGCTTTTGGAAAACTGTCATAGATTGAGTAGTTCTTGTCGTTTCCATTAGAGCTGATACCACTGAATACCAATTCAGCCAGCTTGGCATGGTTATGGGCTGTGTTTCACTTGGTACAGCTTACAGTTCATTTGACTTTAGATGGAAAGAGGGGTTTCGTAGATGTTTTGAGGCTCATTTTATTGCTTTGGGGGCTGTTGTGAAGGTTAGTTGCGTAATCCAATCTTGGCTTCATGATTTATAGTTGAAGATTAAAAATATGATACCAAATGTAGTACAGAATCCTGATGTGACTGTAAGGGGACAACTGGTTAAAATAACTATGGCACAAGCATGAAAAGCCAGCACTAAAAGTTTAGAAGACAGGTTATTTGTTTTCCAGAGAAACAAACCCCTATCTGTTACCTTGAGCTAGCTTTTGGAAACTTGACCAATTTCTTGAGGAACCTCCCCTAAGTAACAGGTGTATCAAAGTGGAAAACCACCACAAAACGGTGCAGTATTTTCCTAGTATCAGTTCAGGGCTCAGGCCAGCTTGGAGCTGGTCTTTAATAGCATCGTTCATGAATCATGAGGAGTAGAGGGAGGAAAGGTATGTTTATAGAGGCTGGTTGCATCTGGAGATTGGAGAAGAGGTGAGCTTTTTTTTCTTTCGTCCGGCCATCCTGCAGCCTCCTCACAAGACAGACTTTTTTAACCCCTGCATTCCCCTGTCCTCAATCCCCATCCCCTCAAGGCTCTTATAAATTATTATTAGCTCAAGTAGGTCAGACATAATTTTGAGAATAAGACTTGTACTGATAAGGGGGTTAATTTCCCCCCTCTTTTTAATGAGCTAACCAAAGTAATTTTGCCTACCTGGGGAGTATGTGAAAGCCATCATTTTCATTAGTCTATTTTTCTTCCAGTTGAGTAAATACAGGACCACTTAGATATATTGTTAGACATTAATATTTCAAAGGCTTTATATTAGTGGCAAATAATTTTGACAGGACCCAGAACTGACCAGTTCCAAATCTACTGACATGTGCCAAGGACTGTTTTCCTTAACTCCCAGATTTGCCTTTGGGTGCTACTTACAATTTTCATCTTTTATACACTGCCACCAGAGGAGAATCTCCTCTATGCATCAAATAGGCATAATAACTCTCTGTTGTAAAGTGTAACAATATTTATTCACATATGTAAATCAAGGATGGTCTTATTTTATTCATTCATTAATAGTGCTTTTGACTTGAGATGTTTGCTTGTTTAGACTTACTTTAATCACAGTGTTACCATATTCAAACAGTTTCTTTTATTTTTATCACTATTACTTAATTCAGTTCTTAACCAAACCAAATTCCCAAGATCTTGTCCTATTACTAACTCTTTCAATCTCTCTGTATATTCTAGACTATCTTCTCTCTAACACATCAGCGGCCCTAACTGTCTAAAACTGTCATTAACTGTCTTTTTGTCTCCTTTTATTCTCTTGGTTCCGCCCCTCCTGCGATGTCATAGGCTCCCACACCACAGCTCTGACCTGACTGACAGGAGTGACCTGAGAGCTATCGTCACACCTGCCTTATATAACTCTGTCTTGATTAATTTAGCCATCCTTAAATTCATTCATAAGGTTGGTATCCTCTTGAGGTACACCTTGGGGAACAAGTGATATCCAGGCTCGTATCCAGTGGTTTTCTTGACTAAACAGTCGTTGATGATCGGTAGACATCTGATAAGAAATTACTCTCCTAAAATATTTGTTTGTTACTCTGGAGTTGCTGTTTCCGATCTGCTAGATTTAAAGTGTTGGGAGTTTTCTTAGGTGCGAATTGTATCAGTCTGCCATCTTCATGGAGTATGGCTGCATTATACATGATACACAGATAGAGAGGTTTGAATTCAGGCAGGCAGAAATTAATACAGTATTTGGGAGTTACAAATCAATCTAGCCGAATTTAAACACTTAAATTTTCTTACTTTCTTTGAAAAAGTGGGGAACAATCAAGCAATTGATCTGGGAGCTCTTTTATTTACATATTTCTTGAGTTTCAAAATTGTCCAGTTCTAGCCACTTTCTGTCAGATTGATCATTTGCATTAATAGATTAAGTGTGGCTCTAACCAACAGATCTGCGTTCCTTATTCTTACAGACTTGAGCTTCTTCAGGATCCAGACTTTTATACTGCTTTGAAAAATTAATATACTTTGAACAAGGAGGCCTCAAACCACATAGGAATGTCTAATTGTCCTATAAGTGCTAAACCCGAAAAGCCTTCAATATTTTTTTACCCAGGGTACATTGCACTCTGCTAGAAGATGGAGCATACCTTCTGATACGTTACATGTTACTGTCTAGGATACTCGTCACACTTGTGTTCAGTTAAAAAAATGTTAAGGTTTGTGAAGAGATTCTCTGTACAATGTCATGTAAGTTCTGTTCACTCAACTTAAACAGGCTGGTAAGGAACCACCACTCACCTGTAAGGGATTCTTCAGGGTAGCAAGCGTAAATGTTGATCGGTGTCTTGCTCACCCGTCTGGGACTTTCACATTACAGGAAGAGCCTTCTGTATTGTCAGCACTGTAACTATACTGAATAATGCTAAGAAATAGTTCTTTGAAGTGGGAACAGACTGAACTGGAGTGGCAGACATTTGAGGAACTACAGACACTTCGGTGGCCCTAGAGAGATGAAATTTTAATTAGCCAAACTGTAGTGAACCTTTTTTAAAAAGTGTAGCTGGTAGAAGGCATTCCATTGAAACTACGATAACTCCAGATATAATTATTGCCATGTTTCTTTGCAGTGTCACTTATGAAAGCTAATGCAGATGGTTGTCTTGCCTGAAGCAGAGGGCACCTGTATTACTCTCTATCAGATCACAATTTGCAGCAAGTTTTGTACATAAGGTTTAGTGTTTATGTTACTGGAATTATCTTTGCCATATAATTTAGAAAGGAACAATCATCTGGGGTGTTTAAAGAAGTTCCTTTGTTTTAATATTTCTGCTGTTCTGTGCATGATTAAGTTTGACACGCTGCTCAGTTGGCTGGCCAGGTATTCCAAGAATGCTGCACTGTCAATACTTGTGATCTCTTCTTATTCCGGAATGGGGTCGTTTGTTAGCAAATGCAGGAAGAAAGGCAGCTTTCCCTGTCGCCTAGCAATAAGCAGGGGAAACCTTGCAGCGTGTCTTTGTTTCCAGTGACTGATAATAACGAAAGGCACCCACAAAGGGGAATACAAGCGACTATTCATAACCGTGGCAAAACAGTGTTCCCTTGTATGAAATGACAGTCATGATGCTGATGTGCTGTCAAGCCAACTGTAACATATGGTGATCCTTTCTCAGAGCTTTCTAGGTAGAGTACTCAGAAGTGGTTTATCCTTCCCTTCTTTTGCGGGTGTCCTGGGACGGTGAAGCTGGCCCAAGGCCACCCAGGCTGGCTCTGCTTGCAGGAGGCACCCTGGGAGAATCGAACTCCCAACCTCTGGCTCCACAGCCAGAGACTTAAACTAGTGAGCTTAAACCAGCACCTCTGGCTCCACAGCCAGAGACTTTAGTGAGATTTCCAGTCAGCCATCTCTGTCTGTTAACTAAATGGAAAAGGGATGCTCAGAGCTTTCATCTCAGCCATTTGGAGGTACCAATTTGACAAAATCAAGTATTTATGCCACCACAGCCTCCTTCTTGGAGAAGAATGGGGTAAAATTGTAATAACACAAAGCAAAATGTGCTGCTTATATACAATCCCATACTGCTCATTTGATTCTGCAGGATACACAGTTGCACACCCACTCGCCCCCCCCCACCCTCAAAGGGATGGAAGGCTGTGTCAACCCTGAGTCGGCTACCTGAACCTGTTGGGATGGCCTTGAGCTGAGTCCGGCTACCTGAACCTGTTGGGATTGAACTCTGGCCTTGAACTGAGTGCTGTATTACAATTTAACCACTGCACCATGAGGCTTCTAATAACGTCTTAAATGATTATATTTAAAAGAAACAGTTTGTTTCAAAATAACAGCTGAGTGCTGTATTACAATTTAACCACTGCGCCATGAGGCTTCTAATAACTTCTTAATTGATTATATATAAAAGAAACAGTTTGTTTCAAAATAACAACTGCCTTCTTTGTACTTTAGTCAAACATTGTTTGACTGATACCTCATGGGTCAGGGGTAGACAACTAGACACTCTGTCAGTGTTGCAAAAAGTGCCGGAAAATACAATCAAAAAGGGTAAGACTGTTGGGTAGTCCTTGTTAATCCTTGCATGTATTTGATCGCTTGCCCTTGCAGATGTGCATAACCAAAAAGGAGGAACCGGAGGATGAGAGCTGCAGGAGTAGCAGCATGTGACTCAAAGCCGATCCAAGATGGCCTTGTTTTTGGAGGGTTGGGTGTTTGGGCAGTCTGTGGAAACCTCCCTCCTAGTAGGCTGTGTTTAATTATGAAAAAAAGAGATCTGGATCAGTTTTGTTCTGGATGCCTTCTGTTCCTGATAGAAAGTCTTACTTGTCTTATGTTTTTATATTGTGGTAGTTGCAGGCTGAGGAACACAAGTGTCAAATGTTGAATGGAAAAATGGTTGCACTGTTGGAATAGAACAACTGCACAGTACAGGAGATTTTGCTTCTTTTGGAATGATTAAATTGCTAAGAGACAGGGTATCGCTTCAGAAGTTTGATCACAGCCAAACTATACAAAAACTTCCTTTCGCCAGTGTCAATCTCAAATCTCATTTGGAATTTAAAAAGACTGTGCCAGTCTTAGTTCAGCTTATTTGATGTCTTTCTATGCTTTCTATTTAGTCACGTAATTTTAAAGGATTTTTTGAAAAAACTCGAGTGGTGGTGACATCTGTCATTTGAAGAAACGATCAGATACCTGTAGAATATTTAGGTAACTGTGCCAAGTACCATTTCCATGGAATAGTCCAATACATGACGTGTTTTCAAGCATCTAGAATGTCTTTGTTATTTTTCATAGCAGTAGTTTGAGGAATACAACGGATGGAGTTTGCTCACCTAGCTAGTGGACAGTTATGAAGAGTGTTAGTCTTCTTGACTTGATTGGCCTCTGATTAACAGCATTGCCTTCTATTCACATGGCCAACTATTTAAAAATAAAGTGCAGTTTTCACAGCTGCTATATAATGTAGCAAAGAATAGTGACTAAATATGTATAGATATACTCAAGCTACAACCTGAATGTCTGCTCGGCCCTAAATTATGCAATCACTATTTATTCTGCAAATTTCACCAGTTTCTTCCTTTGTGTATTTCTGTATTTGTTTAATCATCTGCTTTACATCAGCTTTAATGTAAGCACAAACCTAACCATTGCCACTCCAGAGTAAGACAACTGAAAAACAACAAAAAATGATCCACCAGCAAAGTACAATCTTTCTGTATTTGTTTAATCATCTGCTTTACGTCAGCTTTAATGTAAGCACAAACCTAGCCATTACCACTCCAGAATAAGACAACTGAAAAAAAAAATGATCCACCAGCAAAGTACAATTAAGAAACCTGTAAATCAGTAGAATAAGGCAGTGAAAAGAGCTGCCGCCAGTTGCCCATTACAGTCCCTTGAGAATAAAAAAAGGTCTCAACCTGAGTGCTGTTCTCGGCCCAGTCTGAGCACTTGCTGGGAGAATGCCTTCCGTAGCCAGGCTGCCTTGATTGAACAGGTGTAAAGCAAGGGGCATTGTAGTTTTTGTTGAGGTGGGTACCAGACAGGACGTGCTGTCCCTCAGGTCCTCTACCCACCTGAGAGTAAGGACCCCATTGCATGTTCACTATAAAGTTGGCAAAGGTGCCTGTAATCGCATTACACTGAAGTTGCCCGCAGGGCTCTCTCTGGTCAGGGAACATTTCCGGGGGGTTTGATGAGGTTTGAGGGGGCGGCTCTGTCGCTCACCCTCTTGTCATTACAGCACTACAACCTTGCAGGCTGAGTGTCTGAATAGGGTTCTTGCTGCTTTTGACTCGAGGCACCTGAAGGAGGACCTTGGGCAGATCCTCTGATTTAGACAGGTTCTTTTTCCAGGTCTCAGAGAAGGCAAGGCGGCTGTACAGGATTCTGAATCTGAAAACAGGCAGCCAGGCCTCTGGCTTCTGAAAGGTCCCAGATAGTTGCCGTGCAAAGTCAAGAATGTTTCTGCTGCCACAGAGGCTAAATATTTAGTGGTGTGTTGCTTTTTAAAAAACCAAAATACTTAGGAAGCACTGAATTCTTCAGACAGTACTGGATTATTTCTTTTTCTTCCTCCCTTGTGCTTTTTGCAGAGTTGTGGCATGTGCATGGCTGTAATTAAAGCTCCAGCTCTCATGCATGAGTCTAGGAACGTGATGGTTCCCCAACGGTTTGCTCTTTCTCCTTCCTTGTAGACGATTCCCCTACCCATTCCAAGATGGAGAGCTCAGATGCCAATAATAAAGGAAGCGTGGACCAGTCCGAAGCCCAGCGTCGGAGCCAGCTGGACCGTTTGGATCGGGAAGAAGCTTTCTATCACTTTGTAAATAATCTGAGTGAAGAGGACTACCGGCTGATGAGGGACAACAACTTGCTAGGTACCCCTGGTAAGTTACTTTTTGGAGTCTCTGGCTTTCACATTCACCTTATGTAGAAACTTTACCATTAGGATCAAACTGTGTGTGTTGTGTGTCAGAGTCATAAGCTGAAAGCTAACTGTCAAGATTAGTGCATCGTCTTATTAAATGGACACTTATTTAAACTTTGTTGTACGCAATAGCTGCTTTATAGAAATAAGATTGTTATTTTTACTCTATTATTATGTTTACTTTATTATTTTAATGCTTACGGCACACACCACCTATAATGTCTGCATAATTCGTATGATAAACAGTCTTCTCTTTCACTTGTATCTGATTTTTTTTTCCTTTTAAGCACCATTCCCAACCAAATTAAATAGAATATTTCTTTAACTCCATGCAGTTATATTGGGTGATTGTTATTGAAGAAACACTTCAAAAACAATACAAGGTTGTGCATCGGTTTCGTTAAGAGATGTTTTGGTACACGAGAAGTAGATTGTGGGGTAATGTTCAGAATACAATGACCCTTTTACAGTGTCACAATATTATGTGACGATTACACTTCCTCACTTTTGTGATATGTGGTGAAACAGCAGTTCATTTTCGTTCTCTTTCTCTCTCATTAGTCTTGGATTATTTTTAGTGCTTAGCAGGTGAACTGAAATGGAGTCCCCTTTCCAGTGCTGTGTATTGAAAGGACTGTGTAGACGACTTATTCTGCTGTCTTTTAACTCTTTCCCTCTTCTATATTTCCGGCCATTCATTTCCTTGAAATACAAGCACTGCTGTCAAATTGTAATTCACCTCCCTCATTTTTCCCCCTTCCCCACAACAGTTTTCAGAATTTGGTTTGGGTCTTGTTTTACTTCCCCCGCTTCTTTTGTTTCTCTCCTTCCTGGCACACACATCAGCCCTACAGGGTGATACTTGGGAATATTCTTATGCAGGCCCACACTTTATAAATTGAAAATGCACCTCACTATGAAGCAGGAAAAAAGTGACAAACCAGGTGCTAATCCTTGAGTTTAACGTCTTGGTGGATGCCTCTCTGTTTTGCTAGGGACTCTTGTCACCCTCGCAGGTGTACCCCCTGGTTTCTTGGATGAATAGATGCTTTTTGGCTCATTTCTTGCAAACTGTTCCCCCCCAGGTGAAATTACGGAAGAGGAGTTGCTAAGAAGGCTGCAGCAAATTAAGGAAGGCCCGCCACAGCAAAACATGGAAGACAACAGAGGTATGTGAGGCTCACCTGAAGATTCTGTTGTGTGAATCATGCCAGAAACCCAAGCCATTAAAATGTTGTCGCCAGAACTGTAAGCTCTGCCAGGTTTAAACAGGGCTCCTGGGATCCTCAGTTGTATTCCAGCCTCTTTGCTGCTGCTCTTCTTTGTGTGTGTTTCTGCTAGGCATTTTTAGGTCTTGCCCTGCTACCAGGAGAAAGCAACTAGCTTTCTTTTTCTTTTCTCTTTCCACTGGCTCAGGTGACAAAAAAAAAATCACTTGAACTCTGGCAGAATAAAGACCAGCCACCGCCTTAATGCTGGATTGAACAGCAAGATTGCCATTGTGCAAATATGTGGATGCAGAGCAGTCAAATGATTACTCAGCAGTGCAGTCACATCTTTATGCAAGTGAAGTGTGCTTGCATGAGGGAGAATCGGATGCCTTTTTGCATGTAATAATAAAAGACACCACCACTTGCACAAAGTACAGCTGCTGGCACAGACGTCTTGCCTGTCAGATGGCTATGGAAAAACTGCCGTGCATCTGGATGCAGTGGAGCAGATACTTTCCGCCTGGCCCTGGAGGCAGCAGGCTGCCTTTTTTTCAGGTGCTGAGATCATGGCTTGCCTCTGAAGTGAGTTGCTTGTTATTAACAATTATTATTTGCTAAAGTGCCAAAGGACATAGTCATGTTCCCTAACCTCTGTAAATGCGACAGCTCAGGAGCTGCCAACCAGGTTCTTAAACAAATAGTATTATTATTGACTACAGAGTTGTGAGTCAGACAGTCAAATTGTTTTGACAGTAACGGGTCTGCCTTGATTAATTTAGGAGGCAGCAGTAAACTGGCGTAGTCTTTAGAATAACCTAAAGCAATGGTCCCCGATCTTTTTCTCCCTGCGGACTGGCTGGGGAAGGCGGGGCACCCTCTGTGCTCATGCGCATGTGCAAACAAATGCACTCGCGCACAGACTGCGGTGCGGCACTTGCATGGGCACGCTGGAGTGCACACAGATGTGCAAATCAGCTGTGCGGGGTGGTGGGAGGTCTTTCTCTGTGGCCCGGTCCAGCTCAGGCCACGGACCGGCACCAGGCTGCGGACCAGGGGTTGGGGACCTCTGCCCTAAAGTGTTTGAAACTGGATATTTGCATGTGAAACTTGAATCTCTGAGAACCCTGTTTTTGAAGCCGTAGCTTAAAAAGCATTTAAACCCAGATTCCTCTAGTGTTCTGACTCTGGCAGTTCCTCTTGTCCAGCAGGTGCAGAGTCCACGGAGGATGTATCTAATGGCGATTCCATCATAGATTGGCTTAATTCGGTTCGACAGACTGGGAATACAACACGAAGTGGGCAAAGAGGAAACCAGTCTTGGAGGGCAGTAAGCCGGACTAACCCAAACAGTGGGGATTTCCGATTCAGTTTGGAAATAAATGTTAATCGGAACAATGGGAACCCAAACCCAGAAACGGAGGGTGAGCCGTCCGTAGAACCGTCAAACGGAGAGGAGCTTGAAAATCACCAAAGTGACACTGAGATGCCCGGGGCTGAGTCTCCTCCACCTGTTGTTCAGCAGTCTGATTCAGAAATGGGTGTTCCCGAAGAGATGAACGAAGACCTTCCTCCCCAGAGAGGCCAGAGAAGGTCAAGGAGTCGAAGTCCAGAACAGCGGAGGACGCGTGCTCGGACTGATAGAAGTAGATCCCCTCTTAATCCAGTGAGCGAATCTCCTCGCAGGGTGCATCAGAGCACATCCTCTCAGACCCCCGAGGTTCCCCCAGTGAGCGAAGCTGAAGGAAGCTCAAGGACAAGGCAACACATGGTGATCAGGCAGCACGCCACCCCGCCTGAGATGCCCAGCGAAAACGCAGTGCTCTTTTCAACTCCCGAAGCCAGACCTGCTCCTCCGGTGGCCGGTTCCTCTGAAACCAACAGCAGCTCAGAGCCTGCAGCCCCCGGACAGAGGCCTCCGACAATCGTCCTGGACTTGCAAGTGAGGCGTGTCCGTCCAGGAGAGTATAGGCAGAGGGACAGCATAGCCAACCGAACCCGGTCACGGTCCCAGACCCCGAACAATACTGTCACTTACGAGAGCGAGCGCGGTGGGTTCAGGCGCACCTTTTCGCGCTCGGAGAGGGCTGGGGTGAGAACTTACGTCAGCACCATTCGGATTCCCATTCGTCGGATCTTGAACACAGGCCTCAGCGAGACGACCTCTGTGGCCATCCAGACCATGTTAAGGCAGATCATGACCGGCTTCGGTGAGCTCAGCTACTTCATGTACAGCGATAGCGACGCAGATCCTGGAGGGCCAGCCCCCAATGCCAGCGTGGAAACGACAGAGCCTCCGAACGGGGCTGGCGGTGGGCACGGCAGTTCAAGCAGCGAAGGTTCTGAGGCTGGCCCAGGGGAGGCCTTTGAAGGTGGCAACGAAGGGGGACCCACCGCCGGCACGAGGAGGGAAGGACGGAACGCCAGAGGGTCGGTGACCTTCGAAGAAAGCGGTTCCCTGCCCTTCCTCAGCCTGGCGCAGTTTTTCCTCCTGAACGAAGAGGACGACGACCAGCCCCGAGGGCTGACCAAGGAGCAGATCGACAACCTCGCCATGAGGAATTTTGGCGAAAGCGATGCCCTGAAAACTTGCAGTGTTTGTATCACCGAATACACGGAGGGGAATAAGCTTCGGAAGCTCCCCTGTTCCCACGAGTACCATGTGCACTGCATAGATCGCTGGCTGTCCGAGAATTCGACCTGCCCCATTTGCCGCCGGGCGGTCTTGGCCTCCGGGAACCGAGAGAGCGTGGTCTAAGCGAGCGTGGCGTGCGGACCTTTCAGCCGAGACCTGGGGAGCTAACTCATTGACAAAGAAGCCATTTTTCCGTGGCCCCTTCTGGTGTGGTGGTTCTCAGTGCTAACCAAGAGGTGGGTGCGGTGCTCCCACACGGCGGGGGGACCCACCATAGAAGTGGAAGCTTCCTGATTAAGGTCCCCCAACATAACGCTAGATTTGTGCTGTCAGTTTAAATGAAAAAAAAAAGAAGCAGCAAATCTCTCCACATTGGCCCAAAGACACTTGTCTGTTATCTGGTTTCTGTTTTGCAACACGACCAAGGCCCACGCCTTTCTTCCTAACCCTGGTCCGTCGTGAATATTGAAAAACCTTGACTCTCCTCTTCCTGGTGAGGAATAGAACTGGAGTCCTTTGACTGCATTCAGTTCGCGCTTCGTGGTGGATTGAAACAGAGAGAAACTTGGCCACCTGGGCGGGACAGTGAAATCGCACCCCCCTGTGTCTAATTTTAGCTCCTTTCTTGTATAGGGTATTGAACATTAAATGTAAATAACACTAACGTTAGCCCCTCTCCCACTGTACAGCTGTCTTAAGCCCAACACTATGGGGTGCCATAGAATTTCTGATAGTTTAATGGGGATATTTATCTTGCTGTGGAAATATATTAATTAATTGCTTATGCTTGTTTAAATAAACACTTTTGTTTTAAAAATGGTAAAGCTTTTTGTACAGGTCAGTGAGTATTCCCATTGCACTGTTTGTAGTAATGAATGCAGGACCAGAATTGCCACGGTTAAGGATAAGAATGTCTCGGTGTGATTCTCCATACCTGGGCATGATGGCAAAGGGGGTGTTTGTGTGGTGCAAAAATCTTGGCCGCTTCAGGATACTATAGAGTTAAAGCAGTGCAGCAGCTGGAAATGAGGTGAAACCCCCCCCCTTTTTTCTCTCTCTCTCTTTTGGCTTCTGCTTAGCTGTGGGAATGCTGCTGAAAAGAGGCACCAGGGAGGCCTGCTTGCTGCCGGAAAGGCACTTCTCTTCTGAGGGTCTTCGTAAACAAGTCTGGTTGGAGGGGTTACGAAGCAGCAGCGTTGCCACGTTATTTGACAGCCTTGGGATACGCACCTCTGTTTTTGACCCACATGTACACCCCCTCTGTCTCAGCAGATGTGTGCAACTTCTCGGGGCCAAGAGGGTGCCATTGAACCCCCCCCCCCCCCCAGAGCACACTGGGGGTGGGTGGGTTTGCGACCACCACTACTTTTGCCACTGCTCCCCCCCCCCCCCCAGAGCACACTGGGGGTGGGTGGGTTTGCGCCCACCGCTACTTTTGCCACTGGTGACACTGGGTAGCCATCCTCCTGCACCGCCGGGCCCTGTCGTCAGAATCTCCTGGGATTTCTGGAGCCTTGGGCGGGAGAGAACACAGAGCAACATTGTCCCCGTTTTTGGTGGATGGAATAGAAGCCGTGGCTGAAGCAGGAGATGCGGGAGGGTCCCGGAAAGATAGAAGGCCCGGAGGGAGGACAGCCAGTGCCTAGATCCGGGGATGACTCGCAGGGAAATGGGAAGTGCTACTTAGGTCTCCTGTCGCGTGCAAATTGCTTTTACCTTGCTGGGCAGCTGCACAGATTCAACACAGTAAACCTGTTAGGGTTTTTTAAAATCCCAGAGTGAGTTGTTTCTCAAACTGAACCTTATGAATTCATCTGTATATAAAAAGTGTTTAAGACAATGATTTAGAAATCACTTTATGATTTGCTACGTGTATATGAAGAGTCAAGCTTTATTGAGCTGCGCAGAGCCCTGTGTCACTTTTGCTTACGGACTGAACCTGTTGCCGCCTCTCCCATGGCTTTAAAAAGACGGGTAATATTCAGTGGCTTATAAAAGCCAAGAAACAATGGCAGGTTTATCTCTTTTCGCCTAGAGAAGAATTCCATCCTGTCTCTCTTTGCTCTCCTTTTGCTGCCTTAAAGGAATGTTAGACTATAAATTAATAGTCATTTTGTGTTTGTTCCCTTCCTGGACTGTTCTGCCCTAGCAACAAAGAGCCATTTTTTTTTTATTTTCCAAAAGGTAAGAGAGGTTAAGACATTCGGACCTTGTTGGGATATAGATTCATTTTTCCACATTAAAAATTATTGTTGGAGGCTTGCTTGTCTGGACTTTGATTCTGAAATGCTGTAGCACCTCGTTTTAAAGGTTTGCTTTCAGGTTTCCTCTGATTCTCATTTCAGCAGCGCTCCCAATTGGAAGGCAAGCTGTCGGCTGAGTGTTTATTGCTAGGCAGCCCTGGCCTTCTAAGCACCAGAGCCAGTGTATTCAGGAGATCGACCCTCAGAGCGAACTCAGTTTGATTTGTGTTATACGGGAAGAGTCTATATGGGAACCTCTAAAGAGGTTGAAAACAAAGATTGTATCATCTGTATTTCACCACTGGCTCAGTATGGAAGTGGGTACTTGAAATACACAGAAGAAATCTTTCGGCAAGTCTGTGGTGAGGAAGCAGTGGAGGAAAAAGAGGTGCGCCTGGCCCGGATCCTTCCTGCGCCCGAAGAAGTGGATTGCAGTCTGCGAAGTTTCAGCCTGAAATAATTGTATTCCTCTCCCAGGTGCTTCTTTCTCCACATTGTGTCTGTTGTTGGAGACAGGCTGGAAAATAGGTTGGGAATCTGGCTGCAGAGTTGATGGGCTGCTGGGCTACCTGGGGGGAAGGGAAAGTCTTGGGCAGGTTGCCTGATTCCCACAGACTCACAGATTTTGCCAGTAGAAACCCCTGCATCAACCTGAAAATAACAAACGGTGCCCTATATGCTTTCTATAATGTTTTGTTGCAAATGCCATTGAGCAAAAAATACTGTTTTTTCCCTTTAGAAAATTGCTGGACAGCATCTCCCTTTCTGCAAATTGTTTATAAATTGGCCCTCTACAAAGTAGCACTTCAGCATTTAGAAACTGCCAAGAATTTTAAGAAAGACTACATACAGCTCAAGGAAAACCAGGGAGTTCAGTGTCCATTTTAGTTCCGTCAAAGCCGGATCACTGAGGTCAAAACCCACCATAATGCTGGCGCAGTGATTCCCTGCTAGGAGAGTTGTGTTAAATTGCATCACTGCAAGGAATGAGGGAACCCTGTCCAGTTAAAATGTTGACCTTGTAAGTGCGTGCCCCCGCTACATATATTGATGATTTCAAACGGCTGCGTTTTCCAGCATTTGTAGAGCTATGAAATGCAGTGACAAGCTAAGTTTTGATCCACTCAATGTTTATCTGGAAGGCAGATGATTTCACGCCGGAAGTAGCCAGGTATTGAAAAATTCCTCTTTTCCTATCTGTGATGTGGCTGATCAGTAGCTCTTGGGTGGATTGCTTAAACATTTCACTCATTCTATGTGCTTCATGTAAAGGCTTCTTAGAACAGGGAAGGATAAGATTAATCATTGCTCTTTGTAAAAACCCTTCAGCTACATTCATGAGTCCCAATGTTCTGGGCTTATCTGTTGATTAGAAATGGGCAAGTCAAGAGCAGTGTGATTCACACAGAGACCAGAAGTTGGAGAGGTTGCTGTTTTGAACTACAAGTCCCAGAATCCTCTGGGAATCTAGGTGGTGGTGCTGTCCCGTTTGTCATAGAAGCGACATAAGACGGGGCCTCGTCAGAACCAGGTATCACTGCTATATTTTTTCCACGAGAAAAGATGGAGCAGATCATTCCCAGTGCAAAAACATCCATAGGAAGATCACAAGCTGGGGCCCCCAAGGCAGGCCTTGAACGATGGTGTCATGGTCCCCGCGTGGCTTTGTATGACCAACCTCTAGAGGAAGCTGGTAACTGGTGTGCCTCTCCTTTGGCCCCTACCATTCTGTGCCAGTTTGTTTGGGAGTTTTTGGAATCCTGCAGAGTTGCAACAGGTAGCTTCCTGCTTGAGTAGGTGTTCTGGATTTATACATCATAAGATATATTTTTTTCATTTCAGTTCTTCCTTTGTTTCTAAGCAGTCTGGCAAGGAGTGTAGTAATAATCACCAGCCGTCCTGCTGCATCCCAAGTATCCAGCAGAGGGGTGCCTTGTACAGCAGGAAAAAAGCGGCTGAAGCAGCAGGGGGCGCTGTCTTACCTACGCTTTGAGTAGGCTGGCTGGTAGACTTCAGACCTCTCAATTGCTCGACATGTATGTGCCTTTGTATACCTGGATACACACACGGACCCACATGACAGAGCTGCATCGACAAGAAGTTGATGCATTGACACAGCCTAGCAAAGTGGCTTTAGTACGTGGCTCGAAGCGGCCAGTTAGAGTAGTATAAATAAATAAATCATGCATTCCCTTTGCCTGTGAGGAAAACAAGCCTTCCCGGCAGGGAACACTCCTGCTTTGAATTAAGGCAGCACATGGGATTCTCACGTGTGATGGCTGGCTGCTCCGTCAGGAAGAGCCATCCCTTTGTGTGTTCTCCAGCCAGCTCGGTTTGAGCTGTTCGTAATTGTGTGTCTTTTCTCGTCCCTTGACCTTTGAGTCGGGGAGTCCTGGATCCAAACCAGGCTTTTTATGTAACCCTCTTTTGGCTGCTCGGGCGTCCGAGTAGGACAAAAGACTGTTGCAAAATGTTTAAAAGACGCCAAGCCTTGACTTCTACAATTGCAAATGCAAGTCTTCTGCAGAAGCGATGAATTTTTGAACACTTCAGCTCCCATAATCCTCAGACAGCTTGGCAGGCAACCAGTGAGCACATTGTCTCCCTAGGCACAATGTGGGGGACCCCGGACTCACCAAGCTAAACCACTAGATGTGGTGGATGATGTTTCTGAATGGTGAACCAGATCCCTGTGTTGGTCATTTATGGGGAAGCCTCAGCCCCCTATGCATCAGATTAAGTGTTATCTCCTGTTCGTCTCAAAGGAGATAAAAGCCAATATGGAAACTGAGTACTTTATATTCTTTTGAAACCACATCATGCACGTCCGCATGACATGATTTCCTCAGGGACATGTGCTTTGGGAACCAGCTTTGCAGATGTAGCCCGTATTTACCTTTCAATGACCAATCAGAAGGCCTGCTGAGACACAAGGTATGGAAGTGAGAAAAAACAAGTGTGATGACAAATGTCTTTAGCCACTTGAGAGAGCACTGCTTCTAAACACGGGCTAAGTGTATCATCTTGTTTGGAATGGGTCAAAGGATTCCTGAAGGTTTTGCCACTCAGGATTAACTTTTTCCTATCCTCCAAGCTGGTAAGGAGAGACGTGCTTACCAAGAGTTCTGAACACTGGTATTCTCCTTGTATGGCATGGATCCAGGATCACGCCACAGCATAGTACATTGAGTAACTCATATTTACTCCTCCGCCTTTGCAAGCAACGATGGCAAACCTCGAGTATGAATTTCTCAATGTACCGTGGCAATTGCTTTTACCCCATTGGCAAGATCAAATGGGAGAAGGCGCCTCTTGGCTTCCGGACAAAAGATGAAGCGATAACAGCGCCGATAGGCTCGAGCAAGACCATGTGGTTTCAGGCTGGATCCTTGTCAAACCGAGCATGTCAAGACAGCCCCAGAATCCTTTTGAGTGGCTTAATGAGTGATAAGCAAGCCTGTGCCTTTGGCACAGAGAGCCAAGTGCCTTTGCTGTTGGTGGAAGGAGGGAAGTTTATATAACCCAACTTTCCTGGAAGAGAACTGCTGCGGCTGCTCACAGGGAAGCGAATCAGCCAGTGG